AGGTGTGTCTTCATAGTTGGCAATAATTCAGCAAAAAATACCTGCTGCGATTTGTCTGCTTTGAACGTTTTGTGTATTTCTCGTCCCGGCTTTCTTCCAAATTTTTACAGTTACCGTCATCATCATCCTTATAGTAGAAGAGTTTCTCCCCAACTGTGTGGGGAAGGACCGTAGTTTACACATACTTTGTTGGTAGAGGGTTCCGGGTTCGGTTCCTACCGCTTTGATTTAGCCAGATCAGGTCGCAGGGGATTGGAACGATCAGAGGTGAAGCAGCACTCCTTTCCAGTCTCCCCAATACAGATGCTGCTCGAAAACTTGCATCTAGGCAGAGGAAAAGGACAGTTTGGTGGAACCCAAAAGACTTTGTAAAATGGAGAGTAAAATGGGACAGAGCCTTGGCCAATTTTGGTGTGCCTTTACCTTGCGTTGCTTCAAGGAAGTTTTTTAAAGGACTGTAACCATTTTGTCACATTTTTGGTGGACTAAAAATTATGGGTGCGTCTACACTGTAGAAATAATGCAGTTTGACACCACTTTAACTCCCAGGGCTCCATCCTACAAAATCCCGGGATTGGTAGTTTAATGAGGCGCCAGCACTCTGTGGCAGAGGAGGCTCAAGACCTGGTAAAACTGCAAATCTACAAAACTACACGTCCCAGGATTCCCTAGGATGGAGGGGCAGCACTGAAAGTGGCATCGAGCTGCGTTATTTCGACGGTGCGGATGCAACCCCAGGTCCCTTCGCTGTCAAAACAAAGCAGCTTGACACCACTTAAACTACAGTGGCTGCCTCCGACAGGATCCTGGGATTCGTAGTTTGGTGAGATACCGATATTCTGTGTGACAGAGAAGTCTTGAGACCTTGTAAGGCTCAAGGTAACGTGTTGTAGTATTGCATTTTAGTATTTTACATCGAAGTGTAGTAAATATTTTACTCTGTTGTAAAGTGCCATGTACATCAATGGCACTATATAACGAAATCATGATGATGATGATGATGATGATGATCATCATCATCATCATTGTAAAACTACAAATCCTCAGATCCCATACAGCACTTAACAAGTGGTGTCAAACTGCATTATTTCCCCAGTGTAGATG